TTCACCTGAGATTTTGCACAAGTGCTGGGTTGACTCTTCCTTGAAGCATCAGAATCCCATGCTTTAATCTACTCCTGTCCCGGGAAGGTGGTTACGTTGCAGGGAGGAGGGAGGCGATTCTATCTGGATTCTGTGGCAGATAATGGAGAGAGAATTCTCTAAAGGAAAATAGAATCCTGTTGGTGAGAGAAGCAGGGACAGGATGTGATGGACATAGCAGCACATGTCCACTGCCACCCTTGTTTCCGAGGCCACCGTGTTATATGATTTAGGTTGGGACTGGCTGAGATGGTACAGACAAGCTGAAATGAAGCTTTTAAAAATAACTGAAGAAATATACTTTGGAGTGATCTGCAGGCACTTTGCCAAGAGATGTCATATCATATGTCCTAGGTGGCCATCTGGGGACCTAGCAGATGATATGTGACCCAACCTTCTTCCTGACCCCCAGATTCCCATGTGGCAGCACAGAATTCTTAACCTTAGCTCTCTGACACTCCCAACTCTATTGCTCATTAGGGTCAAAGCCATGCCCTCTCTCCAGTTCTCACCTTCTGCACTTCACCTCACTGGGTTGTGCACAGGCCTGTCTTTGGCAGAGGGCAAGCCCTTTGGGGATAGGAATGGGGGACCATGTTTATGAACCCCCATGCTGACAACTAAGGCTCAAGTTATGTTTGCTGAATCAACATCTTAGAGTTAAGGCTAATTTTTTTATTTTTATTTTTTTTTATTTTTTATTTTATTTTTTATCCTCACCCGAGGACATTTTTCCATTTTCTTGTACAGACAGAGTGGGAGGGAGAGAGAGGAAGAGAGAGAGAGGGAAACATCAATGTGAAAGGGACACATCGAGTGGCTGCCACCCGCATGACCAACCAGGGCCGGGGACAAACTGCAACCAAGGTACATGCCCTTAGCGGGAACCGAACCCGGGTCTCTCCGGACCGCAGGCGGACGCTCTAACCGCTGAGCCAAACCGGTCAGGGCTAATTGTTTTAGTTTTAAATTTCAGCCAGCTAAACTCAGTCAAGTGCCCTGTGTAGTGATTAGGAAGATACAGCTTCAAAATATGGTACAGGTTTTTTCACTTCTGGAAACCTGACCTTTCCAAATGCTGGAAAAGCTGTTCCTTCAGCATAATAAGGAATTATTAGAGGCAGCCTTAATGTCCATTGGTAGGGTACCTCTCTTATGAGACACTCATCAGCTTTTTTAAAAACATGAATTAGAATCACATCTTTTCTAATAAAAAGATGTCCAGAATGTATGTTCAAGTGACAAAACAAATTACAGAGTAGTATCCCCCCTGATCCCCAGAAATGTTAAAAAATCACTGATAGGACTGCAACCAGTGATTCCCTTTAGAGAATGGGATGGGGCAGGGCACTTTCACTTTTTACTTTATTTCTGTTTTGTTTGTTATCTTTGACAATGAGTATGTATTACTTTTGTAATTAAAAAAAGATAAAAATGAAATTAATACAACTCTAGAATGAAATTAAAATGTACTATTGTAGTGGGCATTGTGGATTGGTGTTAACCATTCATCACACTCCTTCTGATCTCCCTTCCATACTACAGTAGCCAAAAACTGAAAAATTACGTTTCTCAGACTCTCTTGCAGCTAGGATTCTCAGTGTGCTTTACATTTAGCCAGTCAGACACCCTTAGGTGAGATTTGGAAGGGAAATGTGAAGCAGACAGTGCTCTGCTCCTGCTTGTGCTGACAAGCATAGCTAAGGAGGGATTCAGCTCTCTTGGTGCAGTGTTAAAAGAAGTTTCAATATCCAGTTAGTCAGTTTGTAGGGTCAGGGGCAGAGCACCAATTGCTGGTCTGGATTGGAGCTTTCCAGTTCAGCAGGTAGCTTCCTGCTGGTCGGAGTCAGCTGCTCCCTTGCGGCATAGTTCTGCTGTGTGACTGGAAATTGTACTTTTTTCCTAGTCCTTCATGTAATTCTGTAAACCATAATAAACCTCTCTATGGTTAAACTAGCTAGAGCAGATTTTGTTTTTCTTGAAAGATATGTGGAAAGCTGGAAAAAGCAGTGTAATATTTCTTTGGGTTCAATGCCCTCTGATACCTTTAGGAAGCATAAGAGAATTTGTTATTTCTTTTAAATTAAGTTCAACAAGGGAGGCTAGACTAAACTTCTTAAAGTTTCATTCTAGTAATTTATGAAACCTGGTGGCACAAATGGAAAGAGTCAGAAATGTGGTCTTTGAGCCTCCAAATTCACCTCTCTACCTTTTCTCTCCTATGCACATATCATTTCGTTATTTCTGGTTATCTCATAATTTTATTTACAACCACTTTGCAAGACTAGTCTTCCTGAGCAAAACCCTGGGTCAAATGCAAATGGAACACAAGATAAACATTGTAAGGAAATAAATAAGGGTGTAGTCTACTGGTCCAACTAATAGTAACAATAGATCCCTTTGATATAAGAATGAATGGTGCCTTATATTTTTCCTTTGGGTTATGTTTCTATTTTTTAAACCCTTTTGATATATAATTTTTGAAGTTAGATGGCCCTTGTAGTTACTCCCTAATGTTTATCTTAGAAACTTCCATCTAGAGGAAAATGCATAAATTCCCTTTCCTGATGAGGTTACCCTGGCAGTCCAAGGCTGGGTCTCCAAAACATGAGTGGAATTGAAAATTGGAAATGTTCTTTGTCATCTGGCCAAGTCCCCAGGGTCATAGTGCTTTCTAGTACCTCTCACCAGCCCCTCTTTGCCCTGCCCTGTCCATCACCACCTCATCCTAGCAGCCCCAGCTGTACAGAACTTGGCAGCTTACAGAACACCTTGCATTCCTTCCCATTTGACATTTGCCACAGCCCTGTGAGGCTGGCTCAGCCTCCGCCAAAGATGAGGAAACCAGAGCACAGAGAACTTCAGGGACTTGCTCAAGGTGACCCAAAAGCAGCAGGTGTTGAATCAGAGTTTCTAACTTAAAGTGTTTTCTAGAAAGCCTTGTGGCCACTTTGTGTTTTATTCTTTTTAGTCTTAACACATTGTCGATGATGGCCCCCCTTTTCCCCTTTGACCCTGGGGTCAGCATTCATATCACCCACGGGTATCTTGCAAACTGGCCTAGGTTACTTGGCATCTGGCTGCAAGTCACACAGTTCTCCAAAGTTAATAGCACCCATTGGTAGCTCTCATCTTCCGTCACTCTTCCTTTCTCTGGGTGAGCACCCATGGGATTCTGGGGAGAGAGAAGTGGAGGGTTTCAGGCAGTGAATTCTCTGTGACCACTGGATGTCAGTACTGATCTACGCCTGATGACTGAACCTCTTCCCGGGCTGGGTAGAGTCATCAGCACTAGGATTTAAAATGGAACAGGTGCGTCACATTGATCAAAAGCAAAGTGTACAGTGACTACATGTTTTAATTAACAGTTGGGTTTCTATGGCCACCATCTTATCCACCCAGATTTATCAGCCTGAAGCCCCGTTTCATCTCGTTACTTCCAAAGCTTCCTGAATAAACGTCCTCTCGGCTTGGACAGGCTTCTAGCCACCACCTATGTTGTTTTTTACTTCCTATCACACCTCTACACACACACATGTGCATACACACACACACACGTACACACACCCACACACACACACTCACCTAGGTCTCTGCACTTCTGCCGTTGTGTTTACCCGTCTGCAATCCTCTTATCCTTCTGTTAAACCATCCACATTTTCCTGTATTCTTTTTAAAAACATCTTTATTGAGATATAATTCACACACAATACAATTCATCTGTTTAAATTGTAAGTTCAATGGTATTTAGTACATTCACAGATGCATGTAATCTTTCAGTTAATTTTCAAACATTTTCATCACCTTAAAAAGAAACCAACCCTATACGCGTTAGCTATCCCCTCCCAATCCCCCAGCCCCACCACCCCCATCAGACTTAGGCAACTAGGAATTCACTTTTTTTCTTTGTAGATATCTCTATTCTGGACATTTCATAGGCATGGAATTCTACATATTGTCTTTTGTGACTGGTTTCTTTCACTTAGCATGTTTCCAAGGTTTACCCATGATCTAGCATGTGTCAGTTCTTAATTCTTTTATATGGCCAAATAATATTATCATTCTCCCTGTCTTTCAGGGTTTAGCCTAATTTCAGCTTAATCCTCACCTCCTCCAAGAAGCCTCTGTAACTCCTTGGGTCCCCCTGACCTCTCCCTGGGATATTTACAGTGTGGTGTGGCATCATTGTTGATTCCTGAGCGAAAGCCTTTCATCCCCATTGGGCTGTGTCACAGGTCAGCTCCCTGGGAAGCAGTTTGTGTGTATGTTTTAAGAAACAAAGAGCCCGGGCATTTGGGGGATGGTTTAGCAATAGGAATTTAGGCAGGAACAAAGATATCCAATGGGTTTCAATTCCTATGTCAACTTTGATCAATTAGTAGTAGATGACTGGAGTGTTGTATTGAAAAGAATTCTGAGACCATGTCCAGCATCAGTGGGCAAGAGCTGTGATTGACTAGTGGTGTCTGGCATGAATCTGCATGTGGGAGGGGTCAGCCAGGAGGGAACCCTGCAAACATTCACTTATAAACCAGAAGAAGCTTAAATGTTTTCTCCTAACAGAAACCCTTTACCTCTTTGCAGCATTTGATAGTTTCAAAAGCACTTTCCATGTGCTTTATTTTTATTTAACCATTACATCAACTGTGTGAACTCAGTAGGGCTAATCTGTCTTCACATTAATTAATTTGTCCATTAATGTGTATTGAGCAATTACTGTCCTACACTGTGGTAGATGATCTCTGAGGAGGACCATCACCAGTTTCTCCCCTTCCTGTCCATGCATGCTGCCCCCTCACCAAGGAGTGGAAACTAATTCCCTTCTCCTCGAATCTGAGTTGTTCTTAGTGATTTCCTCGACTCACAGGATGCAGCTGAAGTAATATTCTGGGACTGCTAATGGCAGGTCGTAAGAAGCCTTTCAGTTTTAGCCTATGTCTTCTTGAACCATTTGCTTTTAGAGTCCTGATCGGCTGCATAAGAAACGTGACTGTCCTGTGGAGAGGCTCTGAGGCTAGAGAGAGGCCCAGCTGCGCCCCGACTTCAGCTGTCCCACTAAGACACCAGCTATGCGAGAAGTCATCTTGGACCTCCAGACCAGTCCAGTTGCCAGCTAAATACCGCCGAGTCACCCCAGGTGAGGCTGTGTGCAACCGAAGAATTGCCAAGCTGAGTCCCACCTAAATTCCTGACTCAGAAAGTCACGGGGGTGAAACGGATGTTGTTTGAAGTGCGTAAGTGTTGGGGTGGTTTGTTAGGTAGTAATAAGTAACTGGAACGTTCACACTAGGCTTCCAGAAATGAGCAAGGCCCAGTTTCCCTCCATTGAGAGCTCCAGGTCTCCGGAGAGAGGTGGACACATGAACAAACAAATCATAATTCGGTGAATCAAACATGCATATGATAGAATGGGAGCCCAGAGGACAGACAGGTAACTCTAACCTAAAGGGGTCGGAAAGCCTTCCTGAAGGGCTGATAGGTCTGTCTGGGCCGTGGTCCCACTGCTCTTGGGATGCATGGCCCACAGAGGTCATTTTTGGGGGGTAATGCCTCCAATTTGGAGAGACGGGTCTCAATGGCCTCATCTGTATTAGGTGACTGTTTCCCCGCCCGTAGCTGATAGACCCTGCAGTGAACAAGTACTCCAGGGGGCCAGTCAGTTTCCTCTCCCAGTAGACTGAAATGTGGAATGGAGAGTCTCTGAGGCCGACCCACTGGAGCCAAATCCTGGGGATAGCAGCCCTCTAGAGCAGGGTTTCTCAGCCTTGGCTCCTCTGGAATTTGGGGCCGATTAACTCTTTGCTGGAGTTGGCGTAGGATGTTCAGCAGCATTCCTGGCCTCCACCCAGGGAGGCCTCTAGCACCTCACCTCTAGTCGTGATAGCCGGGAATGTCTCCAGACATTGCCAGATTGTGTGGCAAAGTCACCCCTATTTGGGAACCACTTGCCTTGAGTGACAGTCCCCAAATTTGTGAGCTGTCCTATCCCTGTCTTTATTCAGATATAGCAGCTAAACTCTTCTTTTGAAACTGAGAGGCATCCCAGAGCCTGCTAATAATTCAGTGCCAATTTCCATGTCTTGCAACCCAAAGTATCCTTATTTCTACAGTTCTGAAGGTTGAATGGAGTTTGTTACACAGACAAGGCTTGGGTGGGCATTTGGGGTAGAGGAACTGTGTGTACACGTGTGTAGAATGGTACTGTAGGAGCACTGGGTACCACCAGAGCTGCTCATTAAAGGTGGGGGGTGGGCTGGAGAGACACAAGGGCTGGCCCATGCTTTGCAGGCCACACTCAAGTGTGCAGACCAAGTGACTGTGGCTCTGGGACCCTCCATAACTTACATAAGATCAGTGCTTTCCACAGAATCAAAGGCCTCTGGCTGTCTTCCCTTGGATTAGGATAGAAGGCAATTAAAGTCTAGAGTTTGGGGATTTAGAGGATTCTGTTCACCTGAGACTGTTTCTTCTTGCTGAAGAATCAATTGCTCCTAGATCTGAACCCTGTCCATGTTTTCCAAAGTGAGGAACTGAAGGCGTGTTTGAGTTTTGCTCGATCCCCCATATCTTCTCAGTGAGTCCTCTAGGCTTGAGTCGGCCGGACGGCAGTGTCCCATTGTCCACTTGCTATGCATGCGTTCTGTATGTGCATGAGGACCTTTTGGATCACAGAGATCAGAGGCAAACTCAGATTATTTCAAGTTCCCGGGCACATTTTGAGGTGCTCTGCTCCTTTCCAAGCAGCCAAGCTGCAGAAACCTTCTTCTGCCCCTCGGAGATCAGCTCCTCTTAGCTTCAGATTCTACCTCTCTTGCTACTGTCCAGTAACAGATTTTCTGCAAGTATCAAGTCCAGGTTCCCAAAAGAGAGTCTAGTAGTTGGTTTAGTTGCTGCTCTAGGAGAGAGCTTTAGCTTCTGGCAAACTATAAACCACTGCCTTGGGGGGCTGTGTCCATCTCCAGGTGAAGGAGGCATAAAACATGGTAGGCCCTTTGAGGAAAGAGGGTCTCAGAAGAGGCTCGTGTGGAAGCAGGACTCCTAAGCTGCCCCAGAAGGGGAAGTGTCCTTGGCAGTCACCGTAATGAATGCTGGAGTCAGGGCTCAGCTGTAAGACTGATCTCCCCTTGCAAATTACAGGCCATAGCTTTGCATCCGGAATTCCTGGTTTCCACCCAGCTGTCCAGATCCAGTAGCCCTGGGCCAGGTACACCTAGGGAGGCCACTTTTGAGACATTAGCATCCAAGAATAAATTCCCCTGGGAAACGCCACTGGCAACTGGACCCTCAGACAAGGGACTTGTTAGGAGCTGGGGAGCCACGAGTTGCCCTGTCCAGCCCAGATGCAGAGCCGCCTGATGAGAAATAACGACGTCACTAGAAGTTCCAGCTCCCTCTCTGGGCAGCCAGGTTCCCTCTGCGTCCTCTCCCTCCTCACACCCCGGCCCGGTGGCCCCTGCGCCCCTGCCCGGAGACGCTCGCTGTGGCGTTGGGCAGTCTGCTCTCGGAAAGAACACACAGAACTCGTTTGTTTCGCCGAACTGTAAATGTACTCATCCGAAAGTCATGTTTACAAAGGTATAAAGATTAAATCACACAGAGCTGCTACTCGTCTTTTCTTGGAAAAGTATGAAAGTTCGAGAAATTCATCGAGTCTCAGCAAAGCTGTGACTTGCAGTTACCATGGGAACATCCGCCTCTTCTCCATCCTGGTCCTACACTGGAACGGGTCTGTTGAAGACTGGAGGACAGTGTGGTGTGGCAGACAGAGCACTGGAGGGGGTGCTTGGAGGCCTGTGTTCCAGTCCCAGCTTCAACACTAACCAGCTTCTGAAACTGGAAAAAGACTTGCAGCAGGCACATTCTTTCTCAACACAGTGCCTTTAAGAAGGCCAAGGCATTAAAGGTCTAAGCGGAGCTAGCATTTGAAACCACTTGGTACTAGGGGGCCTTCTCTCACAGTGTAGGTTGAGGTACGAGGCCAGGCCCCCAGCTCCTTGAGGAAGGGGAAGTGGGGCAGAGGCTTTCTCTCTGCTGTTGGCCACCAGGGGGCAGCACCTAACTATGCTCAGGCAACTGGCTCTGTCTCCTGGGACTTGGATTCTGGAGCGTGATCTCAGAGGTGGGCTCAGGTCGAGGTTATTCAGGGTGGCGGCAGCTGAGTTGCCAAAGCAATGGCCATGGTGGGGAGTGTCCAGCGGTGCCAACAGTGATGTTTCAATCAAGCGTTCCCCGTGGCATAAACATGACTGTGCTCTCACTGTGACTTCCGTGGTCCTGCCTTTTCTCTCCGCTTGTTGTTCAAGTCTGTGAGGAACACAGTACCTTCATCCATAGCTTTCATCAGCTTCTCAAATGGGTCTATGAATAGTAAAGTGTTAAAAGTCACAGCTGTGTGATCTTTCTGCTTCTGAGAGCCCAGTTAGCCAAGACTCTTTGGGTTGCAAGTGTCAGAAACCCGACTTAAGCTGACTTGAACAAATGGGATTTAATGACTCGTATGCCGGAGGAGCTCAAAGACCTGAAGGAAGCACAGCAGCTTTGGGGTCTTGGGCCTGGATTCGGGAACACATTGCTATCAGGATTCTCTTTTTCTCAGTTCTGCTGGCCTCTGCTTGGCTTATTCTCATCAGCAAATTAGCTTTCTTCACATACCTCAGAGGGTGGCACCTGGCGGCCCTCAATTCCTTCCCACCTCCAAGTCCACATTAAACATCCTGACAAAGGCCCAGCTGGTGTGGCTCAGTGGCTGAGCGTCGACCCATGCACCAAGAGGTTGCCAGTCCGATTCCCGGTCAGGGCACATGTCCAGGTTGTGGGCCTGATCCCCAGTGCGGGGCATGTAGGAGGTGGTCAGTCAATGTTTCTGTCTTTCTCTCCCTCTCCCTTCCTCACTCTCTAACAAATCAATAAAGAAAAAAAAATTGTTTTTAAATCCTGAGGAAGGATTTTGAGCACCCTTTGTTGGGTCTTACACTCACCATTGGAGCAACCACAGGGCCAAGGGAGTTGTGTGCTGGGACCCAGTGGGCCTAGGCCAGCTGTCTACCCTGGTGTTTTGTGGGGCGGAACACAATGATGGTGGTCCTGCCAGGCGCCCGTCATGGGAGTAGGGGAGGAGCAGTTCTTCAAAGGGGTGTGTGTGTGTGTGTGTGTGTGTGTGTGTGTCTGTGTGTGTGTGCTGGACAGGGGAAAATATCAGGTCTCCTACCACTGTTATCCCCATTTTACAGGTTAGAAAAGTGAGCCTCTGTAAATTCATAAGGAGGCAGGAGTAGTGCAACGAGGATTTGAACTTGGGTCTCCATTTCCCAGTGTTCTGGTTCTGTTCTGGTTCTCCTCCTCTGCCTTTTCAAATAGTTGCCGGAGAATTTATGAAAGATTGCATTATGATAGTCTTCCTTTTGGCTCATACGAGTGCTCTGAAAGCGATGTGGTTTACAAACAGGAGTCCGTAAGCAGCCCTGGGCTTTGCCCTTCACTCACCGAGGGAAGTGCTGCTCAGCTCCCCTGGTGTCTGGGCTTCTCTGAGGGCTGGTGGGCGCCTCTCTCCCCCTGGGGTGGGGGTGGGGGAGGAAAGCCTGGTTCTAAAGAGCAGCAGAAGAATCCAGTGTTAAGCACTTAACACTAGGCACTTGATAACAAGTAAACATCGGAGAAGATTACTTATTAGATAGTTAATCATAGCTCTAAATCAGAGCCCAGGGGGTGAGGCTGCAAGGTCCTGGCTGCTGCTGGAGGGGGTGCAGTGTGGCTTCCTCTGGGCCGCGTCCACAGGCTCCATTGTTTGTCTGCTTGTTTACATGCTTGTTGCAGTATCTCCCCACTCCCCCAAAATAAGCTCCAAGTAAGGACTTCACCTGTCTTCTGCTGGACCAGTGCTAGACACATAAGGGCTCAATAAATATTTGTTGGATGGATGGATGGATGGATGGATGGATGGATGGATGGAGAGAATGGAGGGATGGATGAAGAAAAGAGTTTCTAGTTAAAGTCCTAGAATAGAATGAGATATTTTGAATTGTTATTACATCTGGTAATTCCCCTCAAGTGGCAATTTATTTTCGACTGAGTAGACCAAGTGTGCCCAGACAGAGCGAATCGGCAGGGACAGGGTCTCTAAGCAGTCACAGAAGGCTCCGTGATCAAGGGTCTGCCCACCCCTCCCACAGTGAGCTTCCTGCTGTAGAATGCCTGGCTGCTCAATGACCTTGAACGAGGCGGTGTTTACAGCTGCAGCTTAGCAGCCATTGATCTTGGATCGATGAAGCCAGGGTTTTGAAAAGGAGAACTAGAAGAATGGACAAAGAACCCCATGCACTGAGGACTTCACACCATTCATTCACCCCTTTGCTCCACACATTTAATGTGTGTGTACTTAAAAAAATAAACAAACAATTAATGAATTACTGTAGAGAGAGAAGCAGAACCCAGTTC